TCGAACCCTCTTCAGCATCTTCTTGACTGATGACTCTTTGGCTGGAACCATGTTATAGTTGCTTGATTCAAACTCCAGTGCCGATTCTTCCACAGCTCTTTCGATCAAAACCTCCTCTTCCACTTCGTCGTTTACGTGTTCCACAAGCGCTCCCCACAGCAGTGCATGCAAAGGCAAGACTCGACGTCCCTGGTTGGACTCCAAGGCGCCGATGCTAAGTCCTCGTCGGATGATCTCATTCATGATAGCATGGGACGAAGGATCGTTGGGGTTGAGTCTGAGTCTTAGTAGCATGGGAGCAAGGATTCGGTAAGTCCGGTCATATCTTCTCAAAGCCTGGAGATCAAAACGAATGGTGTCTTGGAAGAATAAAGTGTCGTCATCCTCAAGATTGACGAACTGATCAGTTAAGCAATAATGGACCCTGAGTCGGAGTTGAACGATGATGGTTAATTCAATTTGGGGAAAAGGGGGAGTGGGGTAAAAGATTTCTGGTTCAACCGAAGGTTGATAAAAAATGATTTGTTGCAGGTTGAGGTTAGTGCTGTGGTAAGTAGGGAAAGCCATTGGAGAGAAACTTTGAGACGAAAAGTCTTGTTTTGAACGACCAGCACAAGAACTGAAAATCTCAGTGGAATTTATAGTAATGGGCAATGGCGGTAGTTGCTTGCTTGCTGCCATGGAAATCCCAATTGATATAGGAGTAAGGTTAAGATAAGCTATATGTCCTATTAGTCTCTGATAAGCTATATATGCTTGGCAAATCAAAATTTTTAAAATAAAATAAAAATTTTGAAATTATCAAAATTGTTGGTATTTGAATTAGGTAATTTGGAGGGGTTTAACTTCTCATCAGTTGGAAACTGTATATTTATTGATTTTTCATTTTTCGTATTACTAATAATATCTATACATTATTACAAATCTAACCAAACCTATATATATAATGGGAATTAGAGTTTTTTTTTTGTATCATACTCAACCAGATTAACTAATTAAATTGGAACTAATTCTCACCCTTGGTTCAAACATAGCAGCATCAAAATCATAATCCTCAATCCTCAACTGGATATATTGAACCCAATGCTAGTGCATACCTCTGATAAGAGGTTCCAACTGTTAGCCATTACAACAAGGATTGAGACCTTGTCAGCTTTCTTATGATATCATTGCTTTACAGATGCAAAGCAAATATACCAATTTGTCAACTCTCGAAAGCATAATATCAAATTACATTCAGTGAATCTGATTTGAATTCTGCAACAAAACATTTGTTCTGTCTTGTATAGAATCTAGTTTGTCTTCTGCATGTTGGGGCTGAATTTCTCACTTCATTAAGCAGACTCTGGGTGTCATGCTTGAATGCCTGGTTCCTGATAACACCCAAAATCCAAATTCTGCTCAGCAAAATAAGGGAAGAAAGCTTAACTGTAACCGATAGCAGATGGAATTGGTCTCAAGCAAGAATTCAAAATAAACGTTGTGTTCCAAGTCGTTTAAAGGAATTGATCTCAAGCAAGAATTTGAGATAAACCTTGTGATCCAAGTTGTTTAAATTTAACCACGGTAGGTTTTGAACGCTTCTCATACCAATGATCTCTTTGATTGCAGTGCTTCTTCTTGTTCATAAGATTCGATTTTCCATTTGATTTGATATAACATAACAGACCATATTAATACTCAGAATTACAGTAATGCATCAGGGAAGTAAAAGAAATATATCAACAAAACAGTAAACACAAAAAATCAATGAAAAGAAAGAATAATATCCATGTATTGCACATCCTGAAGCACAACAACTAGAATAAGCAAACTAATGAAAGAGAAAAACCTCCTTAAAAGATAATTTACAAATTCTCCAAAATTAGAAGATGTTTTTCGCTTCAACTAGAAGCAAAAAGAACGAAAAAAGCACACATCAGTCTCTCA